GATAATTAAAGTGGAAATTCACACAAGTTGTGTGAAGATTCTCCACTTCTTTTTAGTAAATCAAACTCCATTGTGTGAAAGACACACACTTTTTTTATTTATTTTCTGTCTGTAATCGCTCTTCCTTTTGCTTTTTGAGGGACACCTTTCTTTAACTGTCAATCTTGCTTATCAGTTGTGCCTCTGGGGTTCATTGTCACTGGCCTTCTGTCATAGTCCCCAGTTGATAACGGCCCCTGTGTTAGTTATTAACCTAGAATAAGGGTCTTTAGACTTTCTAAACAAAGGACCAGTTTACTGTCCTGCAGACTTTAGGCAGACTGGCAATGGAAGTTGTAGCTATCCTGACATCTGAGGAAGTTAACAATGCCCCATTTTTGGTGTTTTGAATATAGGTGGAATGGTTAGAACCCCTGTCATTAAATGCTAGGGTTCCGTTAAAGCGATTTACTCTCATTTCCTGTCTTGCCAACATTTTCCCAAACAAGTAAAGTAAGGGGAAGCTAGAACCCCTCTCAGATGTATATTTTCCATGTCCCTGCTGCAGACATCCCCTTTCCTACTGTCTAGGGAAAGCAGGTTAGGATGTGGGTACCCCTAAACCCTACAGGAGCTTTAATATCTAAAACTAGAAAATAGTTTTTTTTTCTGTCATAGACTTTAGCTCTCGATTCATGTACCTACTTTACTGTCCTCCAAAAGGTTTCCAGGATTGCTCTTGAATGTTGTATGTTGTCCAACATCTGCAGACAATGGCAAGAGGTTTGGCAGCTGACGGAGCAGATATACATAGCTGAAGCTGTACTAGGTGTCTACAACAAGCCAGAGAGCAGGTACCAGGCAGTGCATGAGCTCAATACCAACTATTTTACAAGTGTATATTAATTGGTATGTTCAAAATAGGCAGATAATGAAAACCAATAGAAAGTGTAAAAATTAATTTTAAGCAATATATCTAGTTATATTGTGAAAATACATTTTCGGAAAAGTATCAGCGTTAAGTGTAAAGTGCACGAACAGGAGTGTAGAACAAAACAAATAGCTTTATAAACGTTGTATAGTCACTATGCATTTGTCCATAACTGTGTATTTGACTGTTGCTTGTCATAAATACCTACTTTTTTTTTTTTTTTTTTTTTAAAAATACATCAAATGTTCGTTGTGAAAATGGGTCATGGCATGGGCCCTTGGAAGCCTGTACACATACTCCTGATGATTGCATCACAAATCGCATTGCATTTGAAGTGCCATTGAGGGATAATGGCACCCAATCTCATGCAGTGTGTTTTGCTGCAATTGCCACATGATTTGGAATACAATTCTGCCCGCTATCCCAAATCGCAACATAACTGTGAATCAATTATTGCTCACTTAAAGTATAACCAATGGCAAAACTTTTTGTTTTGTATAGAGTACAGAGGGATTAGAATCCCTTTCAGGTTTTATTGCTGTCTGTGACACTGCTAAGGAGATTCACCCTCTGTGTTTGTCCTGTTTACCATTATCATTGAAAGTGAAAGTAAAGAAAATCCTACATTTTGGGTTGTCCCCATAAAAGTCAAATCGGGGAAATATTCCAATTCTTTGGGTCCCCAAGGGATTCCTTTATTTTGCAGAATTTTCTGCTCACTTCCTGTTTGCCTATGGGACAGGAAGTGAAAAGAAATCTTCAAAATGGGATACAGATGGTAAAAAAAAAAATTGACAGGAGTTATAACCATCCTTTGTTCTATATAAAATGAAAAAAAAAAAAAATAAGTTGTGCCAAAAGTTCTGCTTTTAAAATGTCAGACAATGAGAAGAGTGTTTTCATTTATTTCAGTAATGCAACTTAAAAGATGAAACTAATATATGAGATAGACTCATTACATGCAAAGCAAGACAGTTCAAGCCATGATTTGTTATAATTGTGATGATTATGGTTTACAGCTCATGAAAACCCCAAATCCACAATCTCAGAAAATTAGAATATTGTGAAAAGGTGCAATATTCTAGGCTCAAAGTGTCCCACTCTAATCAGCTAATTAAGCCATAACACCTGCAAAGGGTTTGTGAGCCTTTAAATGGTCTGTCTGGTTCAGTAGGAATCACAATCATGGGAAAGACTGTTGACCTGACAGTTGTGCAGACAAGCATCATTGACACCTTCCATATGGAGCAAAAGCCTCAAAAGGTAATTGCAAAAGAAGTTGGATGCTTCCAAAGTGCTGTATCAAAACACATTAATAGAAAGTTATGTGGAAGGGAAAAGTGTGGAAGAAAAAGGTGCACAAGCAGTAGGGATGACCACAGCCTGGAGAGGATTTTCAGGAAAAGGCCATTCAAAAGTGTTGGGGACTTTCACAAGGAGTGGACTGAGGCTGGAATCAGTGCATCAAGAGCCACCACACACAGACGGATCCTGGACATGGGCTTCAAATGTCGTATTCCTCTTGTCAAGCCACTCCTGAACAACAAACAACGTCAGAAGCGTCTTACCTGGGCTAAAGAAAAACAGGCCTGGTCTGTTGCTGAGTGGTCTAAAGTCCTCTTTTCTGATGAGAGCAACTTTTGCATCTCATTTGGAAACCAAGGACCCAGAGTATGGAGGAAGAATGGAGAGGCACACACTGCAAGATGCTTGAAGTCCAGTGTGAAGTTTCCAGAGTCTGTGTTGATTTTGGGAGCCATGTCATCTGCTGGTGTTGGTCCACTGTGCTTCATTAGTCCAGTGTCAACGCAGCCGTCTACCAGGAGATTTTGGAGCACTTCATGTTTCCTTCCGCAGACGAGCTTTATGGGGATGCTGAGTTCATTTTCCAGCAGGACTTGGCACCTGCCCACACTGCCAAAAGCACCAAAACCTGGTTCAATGACCGTGGGATTACTGTGCTTGATTGGCCAGCAAACTCGTCTGACCTGAACCCCACAGAGAATCTATGGGGCATTGCCAAGAGAAAGATGAGATACATGAGACCGAACAATGCAGAAGAGCTGAAGGCCGCTATTGAAGCATCCTGGTCTTCCATAACACCTCAGCAGTGCCATAGGCTGATAGTTTCCATACCACGCCGCATTGAAGCAGTAATTGCTGCAAAAGGGGCCCAAACCAAGTACTGAGTACGTATGCATGCTTATACTTTTCAGAGGTCTGATATTGTTCTATGCGCAATTCTTGTTTTATTGATTGCATGTAATATTCTAATTTTCTGAGATTGTGGATTTGGGGTTTTCATGAGCTGTAAGCCATAATCATCACAATTATGACAAATCACGGCTTGAACTATCTTGCTTTGCATGTAATGAGTCTATCTCATATATTAGTTTCACCTTTTAAATTGCATTACTGAAATAAATGAACTTTTGCACAATATTCAAATTTTTCGAGTTTCACTTGTATATCCTATGATACACTTTTTGCAATTATACAATTTACTTTCTTATAAGGTATAGAGATATACATATATAAACACTTAAATAACTTCAACAATTATACGCAATTTATAGTAACTCAGATGATGAACATGGTCAAATAATTACTAGCATCTTAGAAATTGGCAGTGCTCACTTAGAATATACAATCATATACTGTAGCTAGCTTTTGGTTAATATATTTACCACTGGTGAATAATTTGCAAAGGAAGTTTATTCAGTGTAATTAAACCGGTACAATCCAAAAGATACATACTGTATACTTGTCAACTAGAGCCATTCTCAATTGTTAATATAAAAATCCCATTATACATCGCGTGTGTATATGTGCATGTATATGTGTGTGTGTGTGTGTGTGTGTGTGTGTGTGTGTGTGTGTATACACGCACACGCACGCTATTTTGCCAAAAGTATTGGGACTCCTGCCTTTACACGCACATGAACTTTATTAGTCTTAGTCCGTAGGGTTCAACATTGATTTGGACCATTCTTTGCAGCTATAACAGCTACAGCAGAACTGTGTGTATGATCTAATGCAGAAAAGTGGCCTTCACAGATATGATTCCACTACCACAGAGGCATTTCCTCATTGTCTCATTAATTTCTAACATGACACAGGATTCCTACAAGCACTTTCATCAGCAAAGGGCAGACTTTTCTTGTAAAGATGAATGATTACAATATTATTCTGCATTTTTAGATTATTGATCTGTGTGTGTATATATTGTAAAGTTCAGGGGGTCAGGGATCACCAGCACAGCAGTAAGACAACAGTAACAGTCTCTATTTTTCCCAGCAGGCAAAGCAAACAATGCTTCCATCAGCAAATCCAAATAACTTTTTTCAGCTCAAGAACATAAAACAAAGTCCACTTATTTCAGCATAGCAACAAAACAGTGTCCACAGCATCTCCTATCCTAGACTTGCAGTCCCAGTGAGTAAAAACTAATTGTTACCCATGTCTCTATTTTCATGATCCTCAGGTGTTCTCCCACTGTGTCAATTGTGATCTAAATCAGGCACCCATCTGCCTATATGTCTGGGGAACAAGCAACTGCTCTACAACCTTACTGTCAACTTCGGTAACTCGATATAGCAAATCACAATTAACAGCAAAATGAGAAAACCCACTTTGTGGAATCAGTCATTTGTGGTAATTCATTAATAACAGTAACCTATTCACCAGCATTTATCAGTGTGTGATCTTGCAACTGAGTATCAATTTCAGCTTTCCTTGACTTATTTCAAGTCAGGATGTTAGTGGTTGGAGAAAGTCTCATCATCTTCCCCAACCATTATCTGTAATTAAAGCACCCCCCCTCCTCCACAGAAGTCAGTTTGGTTTGGAAGCGTGGAACATTGTCGTCATCATCAATAGAGATGAGCGAATTATTCAAAAATTCGGTTCGGCTGATTCGCCGAATTCGCCGATTAAATTCGCTTCGTGCCGAATATATTCGCTGCGAATTTAACTTATAAAAAGGGTGTTTTCTTAGGCTTCCGAGAGCCTTTATATTAGTGCAGAACACTGTACCCTTTAATTTAAATGCCCTTGGAGTCTGCTGGGGAAGAGAAATAATACTGTCAGTCAGTATGACATGCAGATGAGTGCCGTCGATCTTTGAATCACCGCACACTTCACATCATTTGGGCAGTCACGGGGCCAAATCAGAGTGTGGAGCCACAGTGTGGCGGTGGAGGCAGCAGCAATGGGAGGCCATACAGCACCCTATGACAAAAATGGAACCCACCAGCAGTGTGAGGAGACCTGAAGCGTGGCACATGGCAGAGTGTGTCGATGGATGGACAGCAGCATTGGGGAGGCCGTACAGGGACCCATGGGTCACACTCTGGACCCGGGCATGCAGCATGAGGAGGCGGTACAGGGGCCCATGACAGATTAGCGGGCCTGGCAGCAGTCATGAGGAGTCGGTCGACGGGGGCCCATGGCCAGATTTACGGGCTCTCATGGCAGCAGCATGAGGAGGCGGTACGGTACTGGGGCCCTATGGCAGAGTGGCGGAGCGTAAGCAGCTAAAAATTGAAGGCCATACAGAGGGCCTATTGTTAAAAAGTCCCCCCAGCAGCAGCGTGGGGAGACGTCGCTATCAAGAGTTCAATGGGCAGAGTGGCGGAGCAGAGCAGCTTCAATTGAAGGCCATACCACAGGACCTAGGGTTTAAAAAAGCGGAAGCTGTCAGCAGCATGATGCAGACGACAGAGGCACATGGCGCCAGGGTGGCGGTGGTGGATGCAGCGGTATTCGGAAGCCAAACACAGGCCTCGGTTAAAAAGCGGAAGCCGTCAGCAGCGGTGAGCAAGACGACAGAGGCACATAGCGCAGGGTTGGCGGTTGGAGGCTAGCAGCAATGGAAGGCCATACAGCACCTATCACAAATGGACCCACCAACAGTGTAAGGAGACTCTGAAAAGTGGACACATGGCGCAGGGTCGGCGGTGGAGGCAAGCAGTATTCGTAGACATACACAGGACTAGATTAAAAAGCGGAGCGCTGTCAGTTAGCAGCGTGAGCAGACGACAGAGGCACATGGCGCAGGGGGTGGCGGTGGAGGCAAGCAGTTATTCGGAAGCCTTACACAGGCCTAGGTTAAAAAGACGGAAGGCCTGTCAGCAGTGTGAGCAGACGGACAGAGACACATGGCGCAGAGGCGTGGCGGTGGATTGACAGCAGTATTCGGAAGCCAAACACAGGCCTCGGTTTTAAAAAGCGGAAGCCGTCAGCAGCTGTGAGCAGACGGACAGAGGCACATGGCGCAGTTGGTGGAAGGTGGAGCGGCAGCAGGCAATGGAAGGCCATACAGACCCTTATCACAAAATGGAACCCACCACAGTGTAAGGAGAACTGAAAGTGGCACATGGCGCAGTGGTGGCGGTGGGAGGCAGCGAGTAAGGCATGTATTCGGAAGCCATACACAGGCGGCCTAGGTTAAAAAGCGGAAGCCGTCAGCAGCGTGAGCAGACGACAGAGGCACATGGCGCAGGGACAGGGTGGCGGTGGAGGCAGCATGCAATGGGCAAGGCCATTACAGCAACCCTATATCACAAAATGGAACACACACTAACAGTGTAAGGAGACCTGGAAAGTGGCACATGGCGCTGGTAGGTGGCGGTTGGACGGCAGCAGTATTTCGATTTAAGAGACATTACAAGGTACTAGTTTTAAAAAGCGAGGAGGAAAGCCATCAAGCAGAGTGAGCAGACGAACAGAAGGCACATGGCGGCAGTGGTAGGCGGTGGCCGTGTACGGCAGCAGCTATTCGGAAAGCCTAATTTACACAGGCCTAGGTTTTTTTTAATATTTAAATTTTTTTTTAAGCAGCTTTATTGAAAAGCGGAAGCCTGTCAGACAGCGTGAGCGAGACGACAGAGAACATGGCGGTGGAATGGTTGGCGGTGGAGCAGTCAGTATTGGAAGTCCTAACACAGGCCTACGGTTTTAAAAAGCGGAAGCCGGTCAGCAGCAGTGAGCAGACGACAGAGGCACATGGCGCCGCAGGGGTGGCGGTTGGATGGCTAGCAAGCTATGGAAGGCACAATACAGCCACCCTAGTCACAAAATGGAACCAGACCAACAGTGTAAGGAGTACATGAATTGTGGACACATGGCGGCAGGGATGTGCAGGTGGAGGATGCAGTATTCGGAAAAGACCATACACAGGGGACTAGTTTTATAAAAGCGGACAGCCGCCAGGCAGCGTGAGCTCAGACGACAGAGGGCACAATGGCGCAAAAAGTGGTAGCGGGTGGATGGCAGCAGTATTCGGAAAGCCATATCTCAGCCCTAGGTTTAAAAAGCGGAAGCCGTCAAGCAGGCTTGTGAGCAGATGACAGAGGCACATGGCGCCGGGTGGCGGTGTGGAAGGCAGCAGTATTACGGAAGAGCTATTACCAGGCCTAGGCTTAAAAACTGGAAACCCAGCAGGCGGTGAGCAGACGACAAACGACGCACATCACATGGCAGAGGGATGGATCTGGGCGAGCAGTTATGAGCACGGCAGGGGTACAGGGGCCCGTGACATCAGTGTGGGTGTGATGGGGGGCGGGCGGGCTACAGGCAACTGGATGCCAGAAAAGTGGCCGATAGGGCTATTATACTGCATGGACTTATAAAGTTGTAAAGGACAGCGGGCCTATAAGGCCTATTAACACTATAACCTAATCATGACTTGATTAGACCAGTGGCCTATACAGGCTTTTCACCACCGCATGGGAATATCATTGACTTATTCTGAGAAGTGGTTTGGAAAGGCTATATACAAAAAAGTAATTCATGAGGGCTGTCCGGAGACAGCGGACAATAAGTACATATATCACAAAATCAATTCATCAGATGTCCAGCCAGCAGGCCTCTTAGGCGACCTCATATAGAAAGCAATTCATGTAGCTGTTCAGACAGCGGCCTCTAAGGCGACCAGATTATACAAATGCAATTCCCGTAGGTGGTTCAGGGGATGCAGGCCCTGATACCGGCTAGGTTTATTAGGTCTGTTTGTGTCATGGAAAAAAACTGGTGGTTTGATATCCAGACTAATCCCCAGCCTGATTCATTTTCTACAAACGTGCATAATGCGTCATCTCCACACTTTGGTATGTGGAACAGTCGTGTCCTGGCGGAGTTACAATAACATCATGCCGCACTAAACACTGCGCTCCGAGTGCCACACTACTGGCGGGCTGACCGCCTTTCAAGGGCAAATTCAGCTAGATTGGGGCCTAAGGTCAAAAAAAAAGTGTTTGTTGACCCAGTAGTCCAGGGGATATGTCTACCTCGGTTGGCAGGGTGCTGTCCAAGTAGGCCCAAAGCCTGTTGTTTGAGGTCCATGCTCCAGTTCCACCTGATGCTGCTCATGACGGACATGGTTAGCTAGGTTTCCTCACTGGCGCTCGGAGAAGAATGCTACTCATCATCGAGACTGCAAGTGACTGAGGGCTGCCGCTGCTGGTGGAGCTGCCACTGCATCCTACCCTACCCCAACCCTCCCCTGCTGCCATGCTGCGGGAATCGCGAGCGCACAGGCCCACACCCCCTGTGTTCTGAGGATGGATGTTGGCGCAGAATGGCAGAGACCAACTGTACTACGTAGGTGCAGTTATTATAGTACTATATTTTGGCCTTCCTCTCAGCAGGTGTGAAAAAGGCCACATTTTTTGGGAAAACTTGGGGTCAGCGATGGGTGTCCCACTAAGGTGGGACAGCCACCAAAGTCATCCTCTGGTTCTGTCTGGTTATGTATTCGGCTGTCGACTACGCAATGCAACAAACCGAGCTTGCTAGTGGGCCATTTGTGCCAAGGATATGCGGGAGGGGACTCCTGCCTCCATCTCCACAGCATTACTGCCATCGGTGCTGTCTTGGGTCATCAGTGTACTCCTCCTTCCTTCACTCCTCTACCAGATGCTTTTTACCTTTTTTGGGGGGGGCTCCATCCACTCCTGTCCGTGCGTGGAAAAACCACCCATTTCCACTCAATAATTTCCTGAGGCGCACCAATGTCCTCCCTCTACCTCCTCCTCTTGCTTCCTGTCCTTGCCCACACAGGTGGTCATGTGGCGTATGAGAATCTGTGCGACAGTATTACCGACCCTGACCAGCCATTGTTTAACTGCATTTGTTCCAGGACGTGCAACAGGAGGAATTGACGAGTTTTGTTCATCCCATAAGTCCCTGCCGTCTCACGAATAGCGTGGCCTCCTCAAAGGGCCTGAAGCAAGCGGCAGGTGTCACGCATGAGCTGCCAATGGCTGTACATCTATGTTACACCAGGGGAGTACCTTTATCCGGGCTATTTTGTTAACATCAGGAAATACGGTGGATGGCCTTTCGCTGTTCGTAAAGGCAGGTCTAACATATGTAGGGTTGATTGTTTCCAACCTTTGTTGCAAGCGTCGCAGATTCAGTCGATGCTGTGTGTAATTCAGTTTTGTCTGCCGCTGCAGCTCAAGGAGGGTGTGCTTTGCGGTGTAGGAATGGCTGAAATGCATATGCAAAAAGTTTACGTGACATTTTTAAGTGATGTTCTTTGCAGTGGGATGGTGGATTTTAGGAAACCGCTTCTTTGACAACCAGATTGAACCACCGTGAGCCATGCATGGCGCCATTGGCGCACAACCTTCATTCGACGCAGAGCATGGGACACCATGTTCTTTTTTTTTTCTGTTGTCGGTCAACATGGTTCCGATTTCAGTTTGCGCGGAGGACAGCCATCTGTTGATTTTTCTCTGTTACATTTACGATCTAGATAGTTCCTCCCCTGTGTACGCACTACGTTCGACCAAAGGCATACATACCAGGTGCAGCAACAGCATGACATTTCGCTGTTTGTTACTGTTCCCCTGACCGTAGTTACAGCTCCACAAGTCGGCGCCTGAACCGTGCACATTGGCAAGAGACACGACATGCTTCAAATGACTGGACCACCATCTCTTCTACATGTGGAATTTGCAGGGCTGGCACTGCCTTTTTTGGCGAAGAATTGCCGGCTTGGCACTGCTACCACCGCGGCTCGGCACAAGACCGATCATTTCTCGGAAAGGTTGGCTGCAGTCCTAACCACTTGGAAAGGGTGAGGGAATGCAGATGCACCAGCAACTAGGAGACAGGAGGACGTTTCAGCTTCTGCCACCGGTCGGGATGCTGTGCCTTCGCAAATACTGTTGTCTCTTGGGAAACAGGAATTTCTAGAAAGAACTGCTGTCGGAATACACGCGTGAAGAGGAGTAGCAGGAGATGAGAAGGAGCATCTGAATCGAGCGGGAAGATGCCAACGAGGGACACACTACCCTCAGCAGAGGTGTTGGAGCCTTGGACTGGTCTGATTTGAGGGCGCATTGATCGTCGGGTGTGGGGGAGCAAGATAAACGGAATGAGGGTGATGATGGATGCGTGGGGCTGGCAGTGAACCGCCGTATCTTTACAACGGTTTTCCCAGGCCAACACGTGATAAGGCGACGCTTGCAGATGGCTTGACAGCAAAACGCTGTCGTACCCAACATATGGCCCCCTGGCCAAACCCGCTTGACTTTTCTGGCCACCATATGTTGGACATATGGCTTCGTTTCACTTACCCTCGGGCGGCTTGACGAAAAATATTGCCACACCGTAGAGTTGGAAACTTGGCCCCGCTACTCTTCACTGGCTGACTGCTACTTCCGCCGTGCACACCGGCACCCACTACTGGCCGTGGTGGTAGGCCTGCAGTGGAGTGGTTTTGCTATACTCCGTGGGGACCGTTTGGGTTTGGCTCCACTGTCACTGCTGCGACCCTGCTGCCTCCTGGGCAACCCAACCGACTGTTTTGCTTCGCTGGCAAAGCTGGCATCCCTCTTCTCCTGATGATGCGGAAGGGAAGCAATAGCCTGATGACGACGAGGCTGCCAAGTGCGATTCAGCCTCATCATCATCAATTAGGGTCTCCGCGGTCATCTACTAGCACCCTCGGTCTGCAGTGTGGGTCAAGGAGACAGACCTCGTCTCTAGGACCGAGTGGCTTACCGAGCCACTCTCCTCGCCAGTTACTTCTTCGACCTAAGGCTGCTGAAGAGGGACGGATGTTCTACCCCCCGTTCCTGTCCGACCTATGTTAAGACTCTTTCCTCACCTGTTACCAGTGGAGGCTGAGCCAACAGCTATGCAGATAACATTCGCTCTGGTGAGAGGGAACACCCAAAAGGACTGGGGCAGGGTCGAGGACACGTGATTTTCAGTGGGCTTTGTCTACCCGGGGCCATGCCTATCTAACGGTTGTGTCTGAACGTACCCACCCCAACCGGTGGCTGTAGGTGTCAGGGAGGTGACCTGGGAAGAGGATGACGACCGACGTCAACAAAATCTCGAATGAACGGGCAGGGTTGTCGGTG